CAATGCTTACAACCACTAAGAGTCCTGCATCCATTGCCCAGATCACATGTCAACAAAGGAAACCCAAGGAAAACAGAATTCCAGCACTTGGATCAAAATTTCCTCTTTTCTCAGGCCCTACAGTCCTTATCAGTGTGCTACTTTAGTCTCACAGAAGTGTAACTATGGTTCTGAACTTCAGCCTCCATGCAAGCCCATCTCTCACCCCATCCAGGAGGAGGGGGCTTGTGTGGAGACCCAGGGAGTTTCTTCAAGCAGAAGAGAGAGGTCTGAGATTCCCGAGGCAAGAGGCAACCTCTGATTGGGAAGGAGGCTGTGGGGGACAACAGAGCTGATGCAGCCCATAGGGCCCATACCAAATCCCATGTCTGTCTTTGCTTTCCCAAAACCAGCAGAGGGCCTGGAGTGAACATTCTAGATACCTGTTTGCAGGATGAATGACAGTTCGGGGGCTCCAGGGCCCTTCCGATCTGGTTTACTATCTTGGGTTGCTCATTGTTCAATGCGTGCCTCTGGCAGGAGTCCAGTCTCTTCCCAGAACACTTAGAATAAAATCCAAACCCTGGTCTCTAAGGGGTATGTGATCTGACCCCTCTGACCTCATCTTTAACCACCTTTGGCCTCGATCATCTTGTCCCGTTATACTGGCCTTCCCTGGCTTTCTATAAAACTCATGCCCCAGGGCCTTTGAACTTGCTTCTCTCCCAAGATACGTGGCTCACTCCATCACTTCATTAGGGCTCAGATGTCACCTTGTCAGAGAGGCCTTCCTTGATCACTATATCTAAAGAAGCCCTGCCCCCCTACACCTCCATCACACCCCCCAGTTTGGGTTCTTCCAGAGCACTGGTCGCCATCCGAAACCATGCCGTCTATCTGTTTACATAGCCATCATCCTGCTCCTCCACGCTAGCACCTAAGCTTCACGAGGGCTTTGTCTTGTCCACTGCATATCCCCTGTGCCTATGATCACTGCAGAAGCAGCCTTCTCCCAACCTCCCAGGACGGCCCCTCCCCTTACCTTCATGCTTCTGGAACTCCTCCTCAGAGAAGCTGGTATCTTTGTGCGAGAGGTTGGTCATGAGCTGCTTGTTCTCCTCCTGCAGCTGGGCGATCTGAGAAAGGAGGTCCTGCGCCTCCCCCCTCCACACGTCCTCCACCAGCTCCAGCTCCTGCAAAGGCGACGAGCCAGCATCGGGTCACAGCCTGCCCAGGCAGCAGCCTCATATCCACACCCCCCCACCCTTGGGAGCGGCTCGGGCCTGCCAGGGCTCCCCCTGAAGGCGGGCACACCGAGAACAGGGCCACCACTAGTCCACACAGCAACTCTGCAAGAAACAGAAGGTGCCCTTATTCTGGGCAAGGCCTGCATTTGTGCTTTAGGATTCGGCCAGGTTTAAAACAGCCTCAAGAGCCGCAACTGTACCTCGTAACTATCTAGACAGAGAGAGCACGCGGATGAGCAGCCCTGCACCACGGGGACCCTGACATTCCCAACCTCTCCGGGGACGTCACGGCCCTGATCTGTGGACAGACCCTGAGTCAGGACCCACCTGTCTCCAAGGGACAAAGGGGCTGCAAAGACGCTGGGGATGCCAGCTGGCCCCAGTGCCCCTTGTATGTCTGATACTGGCATCTCTTCAAGGGATCTTGGGCAACCAATGCACTTTACAACTCTGAGCCTCAGTTTCCCTTAGCCGGGGAGCCAAATATAAAGATTCAAGGGGCTGACGTGTGGATAACTAGGATTAGTCTATTAAAAATCATTTTGTGGATGGCTGTAATCAAAGAAACAGACAGAAGGATTGACAAGGATATGAAAAAATTGGAAGCCTCAGGCCCCGCTGGTACAGCCACCGTGGGAAACAGCCTGGCAGCCCCTTATTAAGTTAAACAATTACCACGTGACCAGCAATTCCAATCCAAGGATCTGCCCAAGAGAAATGAAAACACAATGTCCACATAAAAATCTGTATGTGAGTGTTCACGGCGGCATCATCCGCAAAAGCCAACATGTAGAAACCACCCAGATGTCCACCAACGGATGAACAGCGTGGATCAACCTTGAAAACATGATGCTAAGTGCAAGTAGGCCGCACAGCGTATAACTCCACTGATGGAAATCTCCAGAACAGGGAAACCCACAGACACAGAAAGCAGACGGGCACTTGTCCAGGGTGGGAGGGTCAGTGGGGGAAGAAATGACTACTCATTGGTATGGGTTTTCTTTCCCAAGTAATGAAAATGTCTAAAATTGATTCTGGGGGCTCCTGGGTGGCTCTGTCGGTGAAGCTTTTGCTTTCAGCTCAGGTCCTGATCCCAAGGTCCTGGGATCGAGCCCCACGTCGGGCTCCCTGCTCTGCGGGAAGCCTGCTTCTCCCTCTCCCTCTCCCCCTGCTCATGCTCTCTCTTTCTCACTCTCTCTCAAATAAATAAATAAAATCTTAAAAAAAAATAAAAACGATTCTGGTGGAAGTTACACAACTCTATTGAATAGACCAAAAACCACTGAATTAGACACTTTAAATGGGTGAACTATATGGTATGCGAATCATATTCAATAAAGCTGTAACCAAAAAAAAAAAGATCTTTGGTAAAACCAGAAACTAAACATAGCACAATCGCTGTTGCAGGGACACAGTGCTGGTTTAAAAAGCAAAGATACTGGAGCCTGTTGACCCAAGTTTGAATCCTGTCTCTGCCACTTAGTAGCTGATCCCGGAGAAGTTATTTGACCTTTGGGTGCCTTGGAAATGTGGAAAATAGTGTGATATCTACCTCCGAGGGCTGTCATGAAGCTGATGTCAATGTCTGGAAGAGTGCCCAGCACCCAGAAAGTACTAAAGATGTGTTTGCTGGTTTCTGTTCCTCCTACAGCCTGTCACCAGCCGGCCCAGGTGGCCGGATAAACGGCCTCCGTTCATCTTTTAAATACATCCCTAAATCCCCATCTCCTTTGTCAGGAAGCCTGCCGCAGTGGGGAAATGAAAGGTAATAACTAAGTATTCGCCCAGCTGGTTCAAGGTCACCAGGCGAGGTGAAGGACAGGGCCAGACGGCAGACTGAGGGAGCGGGCCTGGGGCCTGCCCATGCGCAGGTGTGGGCTGGAAGCAGAGGCAGGCTCTCCCACGCTCTCTCTCTGCTCCCACCTGGCGCAGGCTGAGCACAGAGGCCCCTGGGGGCAATGGTCAGGTGTACCTGACTGCGCATCTGGCTCCCCAGAGTGGGGAGAGTCTCCTGGGTTATCCAGGTGGCCCAATGTAATCACAAGGGTCCTCCTCAGTGAAAGAGGGAGGGAGGGGGGTCAGAGTGGGAGACGATGTGGTGACAGAAGCAGAGGTGAGAGTTAGAGATCCGAAGTCGTCTGCCAGCTGTGAGGATAGAGGAAGGGGCCAAAACGCAAGGCGTGCAGGTGGCCTCTGGAAGCTGGAAAAGGCAAGGAAGTGGATTCTCCCCTAGAGCTGCCAGAAGGAATGAATTTCCTGACATCTTGATTTTAACCCACTGAAACCCATGTGTGATTTTTGACCTCCAGAATTTTATGCAGTATTATCCATATTGATATGACCCATAAATATCCAACTCTGCATTATCATAATAAATTCGTGTTACTTTCAGCCAGTAAGTTGTGGTAACTTGTTAGGCAGCAATAGGAGATGAATACAGACTTTAACCACTAGAGTTTTTTCTTTCCCCCTTTCCTAAAGGGGGTGGGCGGGGGGTATGGTTCTTGCCTCTGAGCTGACCACGGCGAATTTAATCTAGCCCCCATACCAGCTAAAAGGCTCTTCCAGGAAGTCACCCCTGATTGATTGATTCCTTCCTTTGCCATCTTCAAATTCCATATGCTGGCCTACGAGGCCCAGTATAATCAGAACCCTGCATCTCCCTGATCTGACCTCCCACCTCTATTCCTTACTCACTCTGTTCTAGCCACATGGGCCTTCTCTGTGTTCCCTTTTTTTTGTTGTTGTTGTTTTTTGTTTTTTGTTTTTTTTAAAGATTTTATTTATTTATTTGTTAGAGAGAGAGAGCGTGGGCGAGAGAGAGTGAGCGAGAGATAGTGAGCAAGGGTACAAGCAGGGGGAGCTGCAGGCAGAGGGAGAAGCAGGCTCCCTGCTGAGCAGGGAGCCCGATGCGGGACTCGATCCCAGGGCACTGGGATCATGACCTGAGCCGAAGGCAGACGCTTAACCGTTTTTTTTGACAGAGAGAGCGAGTGAGCAAGTGAGAACAAGCAGGGGGAGCAGCAGAGGGAGAGAGAGAAGCAGACTCTCCACTGAGCAGGGACCCCGACTTGGGGCTCGGCCCCAGGACCCTGGGATCATGACCTGAGCCGAAGGCAGACGCTTCACCGACAGAGCCGTGTAGGTGCCCCCTCCATTGTGTTCCCCGAACACACCCATTCCTACCTCAGGGCCTTTGCACTTGCAGTGGCATCTGCCTTGAACGCCCCACCCTGCCTCACCCACACTTGATTCAGATCTCAGCTCAGATGTTACCTCCTCTGGGAAGCCTTCCTGACTGCTCCATCTATTAGACCCCCATCCTGGCCAGTCTCTTTCATATCACCCTGTTTTATTTTCTTCATGTCACTTATCATAAGCTGAAAATTTAAAAACTTTGAAAAAATATCTCCTCACACTAGAATTGCACCATCTGACAGAGTAGCCACAAACCACACGTGGCTGCTGAGCACTTGAAACGTGGCTGGACCGAACTGGCACGTGCAATAAGGGATAAATATGCACCAGATTTCAAAGACATAGTGAAAAAAATGCAAAATATTTCTTTAAAAATTTTGAGGGTAACCCTGTGAGGTGATGGATGGTAACTAAATTTACTGTGGTGGTCACTTCACAATATACACAAATATCAAATCATGATGCTAAAACTAACACAGTGTCACATATCATATCAATCAGATTTCAACAAAAAATAATTTCTTTATGTTGATTACATATAGAAATAGTATTTTGCATAGGTGGGCTTTGATATGATATGTTATTAAAATTAACCTCATCTGTGTCTTTTTATTAATAGAGGACAAGCCACATAATTTTTCTATGGGACAGCTCTGCACTAGAAAGTCAGGCCCATGAGGGCAAAAACGTCACCTGTTGTGGTCACCGCTGTCTCCCCAGTGCCCAGAACAGTACGTGCTCAATAAACACATGGGTTGAATGAGTAAATGAACAACATACACTGTTACCATTATAGACAACTGTATCTGCCATCACTTTCTAAGCCTAGTTGTATTTTTTCCTGTCTTCCCAGTTACCCACCCACTGCCTGAGGTGAGGATGCAGCTTCCTCTGTCTCTACACTGCCCATGTCACCCAGGAAGGCACCTTGCACGCCGTGGCCCATCCACAGGGTTGCAGACTGAGTAAGCAGATCGAATGTGTTAAGACGGTGGCCTGAGTCTGTGTGATGAGCAGAACTGACTGAGTTTGGGGGTGTGCTTGGGGGAAGGGTCGGTGGAAGGCCGGGTGCATGCTTTACTGGAGCCACGTATACTGAGAGAGAAAGAGTGTGGGGGGCGAGGCAAAGGAAGGAAGGAGGAATGAACAAACTGATAAGACCAAGGACACGCTCAGAAGATTTTTGTGGAAATAACACCGTGAAGAGCCTTTGAGACCACAAGAAAAAAAAAATCAGATGAGTCTCTATTGATCCTAAGAATACAGAGAAAAGGGGATCCGGGCTGGGATGGGAAAAGGGTTTCGTCCTCTGATTTATGAGAGACCATCCTCAGTGTTTACAACAAAAGCCCCAGCTCTGAACACGCTGGGGTTTACTTCCTGGCTGATAGCGTTTTCCAGAAGCGACAAGTGCAGCTGGTTGGGAATTCCATCTGACTCCAGGCCTAGTGGCCTCCGATGGCTCCCAACGGCGTCTCCCAGCCCAGTTGCTGCAGAACTCAAACGCCAAGGGTGGGGACACAGGTGCCAGGACTTCTGAGTGACCTGGGCTAAGCTCCTAGGCCCCAGTTAATAAGAGGCAGCCACATGATAGGATTTCAAAGATCCCTTCCCCCAACTCTCTAAGAGATGGGGCGGTGAGGGTCTGGACTCGGAGGAGGGGTGCCGGAGATGGGGGTAGGGTCTCTATGAACACCTCACTGAAAGCCTCTCCAGGCCTAAGGACAACAGTTAACACTTTTAAGGCCCTCACAATGGGCCAGGCTCTGTCCCAAACACTTTATATAAGTTAACCAACCCTTTCCACCACAACCCCATGAGATGTGTGCTATTATCATCCCCATTTTACAGCTGAGGAAACAGGCACAGAGAAGCGAGGTGACTTGCCTAAGATCACATCATGGCAGGGTTTAAAACCAGGCCATCTAGCTCCAAAGTCCCTGCTCTGGGGAACTTGACATTAATTACAGGGCCGGGGCATTTTCAAGCTCTCAGTGTGATCTTGGAAATGTTGCCTAACACTTGGGAGCTTGAGTTTCCTTCCTGACCTCAGGGCATAGGGACCTGTGAGGACAAACACCTTTAAACCTCGCAAACACTAGTGCTCTTAGCCACTCACAGTTCTGCGCCCAGATTAAGACACAGCCACCGATGGGGCTATTTTCCTTGAAACACAATAGGTTATGGCTTGCCAGGGAGGTTCAGAGAGGCCAAGTGTATTTCCTGAGGCCACACAGCAAGCCGGAGCCCACTCAGGCACCCTGATTCCTCCAAGGAAAGGCGTTTCCTCCTATTCTCTGTCCAAAGGGTCTGACAGAATCTTCCTTGCGCTGAGGTTGGGGCAGGAAACCACACATCTCCCACTTCCTTTTCCCCAGGCACTTTGTCTAGACTCCCAGCCCAGTAGGGAGGCCCTGATTCACGTTCCTGGAGGGATTCTTGTTCATAGAGCAGAGGCTTAGCTTTAAAGCTGCCCCAAACCATGTCCAAGCCCAAATCAGGGAAGAAGCACTAGAGTTACCTCCATTGGGGCTGGGATTCTCTCAGCACTAACGTGGGACAAATCCCCCCCCCCACCAATTTTCTTCATCTGTAAAATGAAGATAGTACCTGCCTTGCAGAGTTCTGTGAAGATTAAAGATAAAACCAAGGAGGGGAAAGCACTTCAGATTAATAAACTAGAAGAAACCCTGGGAAACAATTTGCAAATAGAATCCCAGAGATTGGGGGGTCAATGAGCTCCCTGGCTGGAGGTCATATCCCCTTTGCTTTGGGGGGTTTTGGGGTGAGAAGCAGAGGGGCTTGATGTCAGATCTTCTTGGGTAACACTGAAGGGCAGAGGGCTTATTTCATTTCTGGAAAATAATATTATCTAAACACTAGATATATCCCACTTAATTCTTATAAGGTGGGTCTTACTACTATCACTATTTGACATGCGAGGAAGTAAAGCACAGAGAGGTTGAGTAACTTAACCAAGGTCACACCGCTATTACATGGTAAAAGTGGGACTGGAACTCAGGTCTGACTCCGAAGAACTGCCCTTAATCTCTGAAACGGTATATGACAGGTGGTGCTGGCTGGACAAAAGAGGGCCAGGGGCCTCCCTCCCTTCGTCTTTCAGCCAGTCGGGTCCCTTCTCATCTAGTCCCTGCATACACACAGCGTGCACCTAAGCTGCCCGACGCTGAAGGGCCCTTTGGTCCCAGCGGCCCCATTCCCCGGATGGGCATATTGAGGCCGCTCGCTGCCCACCTTCTGGTGCTTGCGCTCCTTCTCGATGCGGTCCATCCTCTCCAGTCGCAGGCGGTCCAGCTCCAGGCGCAGCTCGTCCAGCTCAGGCGCGACGTGGTGGCGGCTGACCAGAACCTCCAGGATCTCCAGGACACGCACGACCTTGGGCATGAGGCGCGCGATGGCCTCGCAGCCGTGCTGGTCGATGACCCGCTCGAACTCGTGGCCCACGAGCGACGCGATGTCGTACACGTCCATGACGGTCAGCTCCGCCACGTTCTTCTCCAGCGCCGACTCGGCCGCCAACGACGACCCCCGGTCCTCCTCCATGGCGCCCCGCCCGGCCTCTCCCCCACCCCGCAAACTAGTGCAACTCCCAAACTTGCCGCTGTCGAGGGCAGCGCCGGGCCGGGCCCACCTCGCGCCGCCGCCGGCGGTCCGCGCTCAGCTGGTCCTCTGGCGAGGGCGCACCGGGCGGCCGGCCCGCGTCCGCATGGGCGGGGACGGCGGACCGCGAGCCGGAGGGCTGCGCGCGGGGGGCGAGTCTCGGCGCGCGGCTCGGCCCGGAGCCTGCTCCCCGGCGGAGGAGGAGGAGGCGGAGGCGGAGGCGGAGGAGGCGGCGGCGGCGGCGGCGGCGGCAGCGGGGAGGAAGGCGCGCGTGCGCAGGCCCGCGGCGCCTCCCAAGTTGGGAATCCGAGTTGGGCGCAATGGAGGCGCGGGGTCTAGATGGAGAGGGGGCCCCGTCGCCCTCGGAAACAGTTCTCGCCCGAGGGTCGCCCCTGCGCCCGGGGCCGGAGAAGGAAGGGTGGCCGCGGCTCCTCCAGGAAACTTTGGTGGCGGCGGCGAGACCGGCTGACCGGCTCCCCCCGCGTGGCTGCCGCGCGCCCCGCCCCGATCCCGGCCTGGCGAGGGGCGCGCCCGGCTTCCGCCGCCCGAGGGCGCCCGGGTGCCCGCGGGCCCCGCACCGCGACCCGCAGACTAGGCGGCACCCCCCACCCCCGCCGGACCTTCCTCCTCGCCGCCCCCCCCCCCCCGGTGCGTCCGGTCGCGCCGCCCCCTGCTCCGGCCCGGTCCTGGCTCCTCCTCTCCCACTCCCGCCGGGGAGGGGTCGAGGCTAGCCCGGAGGGGAGGGGGCGGGGGCGGAGGCGGTGGGTGGTGGGGCGGACGCTGGTCTCTGGACGCTTCGCCGAGCGGAGGGGCAGCCTCTGCGTTGGAGAGGAATGGAGGGGTCGCGAGGTGGACTCGGGGATGGGGCCCATGCTGGGGAGAGAGCGAGGACCACCGCCCCCGCACCCCCACCCCACCCCACCCCACCCCACCACCCCCCAGCCCGCAGACCCGGTCACAGGCGGACCTGGTGGCGCCGGGCCCTGCGCTCCAGTACAGGCGCCCGAGAGGGGCACGAGGAAGGGTGGGGGGGTCCCCTGCCCCCGAAGCCGGGCTGCCCCGCCCGCAGAGCCACGTCCTTTAGCAGTTCCTTGTGACATAAACACCGCTTCACAGAGGAGGTGAGGCCGGGGTTTGGATCTCGGCACCGCGAGTTTTCTTGTCCAAGCCCCCTGTCCTTTTGACTTGGCTAAATGCCCTAGTCCATCCGACACCCCGCCCCCAGCAGAGTCTTTCCAGAACCCACCAAGTCCTCCCACCCTTCCCATGCGCCACGCAGGGCTTAGGGACCCTCCTCTGCATTCCCACAGCCCGCTGCCTTCTCCCACGGAACTGCCCCTCGCACGCTTGAGTTTTAACCGTGTGGTTACGCAGACGCCTCCCCCATGAGACTGGGAGCTCCTTGAAGGCATTAAAAAATACTGTAACGCCCTTATAGCCCTAAAACCCCCACCAACCTGGCACATACTGATTTAAAAAAAAATTAAGTTGAAAATGTATTGGACATCTATTTCGTATTTAATTCTAAGTGCTTTACGAATAAATATTGCCTCATTTAATCTGTACTCTATTGGTTCTCAGAGCGTGGCCTAATGACCACTGGGGGTCTCCAATACCCAGAGGGTCTCCGTGAGGTGGTCCCTTTTGCCAGCTTTATATCAATATGAGGCAAGATGTTCTTGGCATATTTAACGCAGAACAGCATCTCACAGTAAGATTGAACCGTGCAGAAGCAGATGTGAGGATCCTGCCCTCTTCCAATGAGCTAGACATTAAGGAGATTTGCAAAAATGCAAAACAACGCCACTGTTTTCAGTGTTTTGTTTGGGAGCATAGTTACTTGTATTAAAAATATGCATGTTAAAATGTCATGTATCTGCTTTTGAATTAATCAGTATTTTAAAAAAATCAGTTTAAATTTCTAGTTACAGTAGATATCCATAGATAGAACACACTTAATGAAATCTCTTTAGAGTCTTCAATAGTTTTTGAGAGTGCCCTTGGAGAAGGCTCTCTGAGACCGGAAGGTTTGAGAACAGCTGCGTCACCACATCCTAAAAAAGTATTATTATCCCACTTTTACAAATGAGGAAACTGAGTCATGGAGTGCTCAAATAGCTTGCCCAAGGCTGAGCAGCTGGTAAGTGCTAAAACCAGAGGTCAGATCTGTGCACAGCAACCTAATGAGGTGGACATGTGATTATCCCCATCCTAAATCAAGGCCAGTGAGAAATAGGGGCATTCGCTTCCTGTAGCTAATATACCAAGTTGCTACAAACTTGGTGACTTAAAACTATAGAAACGTATTCTCTGACAGTTCAGGAGGCCGGAAGTCTGGAATCAAGGTGTTGGCAGGACTGGGCTCGCTCTGAAAACTCTTGGGAGTATCCTGCCTTGTGTCTTCCAGACTCGGGGATCCTTAGTTTGTGGCCACATCACTCCAGGCTCTGCCTTTGTCTTCAGGTGGCCTTCTCCATGTGTATCTTCTCTTTTGTGTCTCTTGTAAGAACCCCTGTCATTGGGGGGCACCTGGGTGGCTCAGTTGGTTAAGTGACTGCCTTCGGCTCAGGTCACGATCCTGGGGTCCCGGGATCGAGTCCCACATCGGGCTCCCTGCTCAGCAGGGGGTCCGCTTCTCCCTCTGACCCTCCCCCCTCTCATGCTCTCTCTCTCTATCTCATTCTCTCTCTCAAATAAATAAAATATTAAAAAAAGGGGCACCTGGGTGGCTCAGTCGTTGGGCGTCTGCCTTCGGCTCAGGTCATGATCCCAGGGTCCTAGGATCGAGCCCCGCATCGGGCTCCCTGCTCGGAGGGAAGCCTGCTTCTCCCTCTCCCACTCCCCCTGCTTGTGTTCCCTCTCTCGCTGTGTCTCTCTCTGTCAAATAAATAAATAAAATCTTAAAAAAAATAAAATATTAAAAAAAAGAACACCTGTCATTGGATTTAGAGCCCATCTGCACAATCCATGATGATCTAATCTCAAGATCCTTAACTTTTTTTAAAAATTTTTTTTATTGTTATGTCAATCACCATATATTACATATTTTGTTTTGGTATAGTGTTCCACGACTCACCGTTGCCCATAACACCCAGTGCTCCATGCAGAATGTGCCCTCTTTAATACCCATCACCAGGCTAACCCATCCCCCTACCCTCCTCCCCTCTAGAAACCTCAGTTTGTTTTTCAGAGTCCATCATCTCTCCTGGTTCGTCTCCCCCTCTGACTTACTCCCCTTCATTCTTCCTCTCCTGCTATCTTCTTCTTTTTCTTTTTTCTTAAAATATGTTGCGTTATTTGTTTCAGAAGTACAGATCTGTGATTCAGCAGTCTTACACAATTCACAGCGCTCACCGTAGCACATATCTTCCCCAATGTCTATCACCCAGCCACCCCATCCCTCCCACCCCCGACCACTCCAGCAACCCTCAGTTTGTTCCTGAGATTAAGAATTCCTCATATCAGTGAGGTCATATGATACATGTCTTTCTCTGATTGACTTATTTCACTCAGCATAACACCCTCCAGTTCCATCCACGTCGTTGCAAATGGCAAGCTCTCATTCCTTTTGATGGCTGCATAATATTCCATTGTGTATATATACCACATCTTCTTTATCCATTCACCTGTCGATGGACATCAAGATCCTTAACTTAATCACATATGCAAAGACTCTTTTTTCCAAAGAACATCTCTGGTTCCGTGATTGAGACAAGGAAGTATCTTTTGGGGCAGGGTGGCACCATTCAACCCACTGCAGGAGGTAATTAACTTGCTTAAGGTCCCACAGCTGGGAGGGATGGAGCTGAACCCGGTGGGTGCCCATGTTGAACGAAGGAATAAATAATGAATGCCCAGATTGGGGCAGTTTTGCCCTCAAGGCAGCAAAGATGTAATTAGCATCATTGGCTGAGAGGGACAATGATCGAGGATCTGGAGAGCCGGCCTGAAGCCTGACCTTAAGACCAGGGCAGGAAAGGGTGGGGAGGAGGAGGGAGACAGAAGTCTGAGGTAACCCCAAATGGTGAGCCCAAGTGCTTAGGAGAATGACTAGTCTTAAGTAAGGAGAGGCAGGCAAGTCTGGTGGGTAAGCTTCCAGAGCCTCTCTGTGCTCTAACCCCGGTGCAGTCACTGACCAGGTGTGTGAGCTTGGGCAAACCAAATGACCTTTCGGGGCCTCAACTTCCCACTCTGTTAAGTGGGATCATAGAGGGTAATTGTTATTATTAAATGAATCAACGTATGTGCTGGCCTCACCCAGTGCTATAGAACAGTTAGTTTCTATCATCATCACCATCATCGTTGAAGATAACTGGAGGAGATATTTGGTCTGGGTGTAGACGTCGCTGTCTAGTTCACAATCAGAAATGTGGACCTGGGACTCAGGACCAGAGCAATGATAAGACCTATATTGACATTCATTCATTCAATAAGTATTTAGCTCTTCATATATGCCAGGTACTATGCTAACCCTGTGGGATGTGGCAATATGCAAAAGACAGGATTGCTGCTCTTGTGGGGAACAGAAGGAAACAAGTAAAATCAAAAATAAACTGATTTCAGATAGAGCAAGAAAGGGTTGAAAAAAGAGAGGAGAATCAAGAAATTAGTGTGTCCCAGAAACCAGGTGTGTTAGCACAATTCATTTGGAAAAAGAGTCACACCCACTGTATTTTTTCAACTATAAATATTTTATTTTATTATTTTTTTAAAGATTTTATTTACTTGACAGAGAGAGCACAAGCAGAGGGAGAGAGAGGGAGA